AGTAGCTTGAAATTGGCTATGGTGGGAGTATTTATACCATAGAAATTGGCAAATGCTACAATACAGGGTTTTTTTGTTTTTTGTTTTTTCCCTTCTGGAGAGCCAGTTTACCAGCACACCATTATATATGGCCAATATTTCAGAGGCTGACAACTTGATGATGACAAATCAATAGGGCTAGCTCAAAATAACTAAGTTCTTGTTATTGTATTTGTATTTTGAAAGCCACACATTTGGAGCATGTAAGAAAAAAAAATTTTTTTTTTAAGAAAAAAATTTTTTAAGACATTGTTTATACACAGAAGCACACAGGAAGGATCAAAAATCAAGATCTTTGTATTTGCTTCTTACAGCTGCCCAGGTCGGGCTGCCGCATGCATGCAGCATGTTGTTAAAATACGTGCTCCGAGAGGAGATAGCCACCTTCTGGAACTTGTGAGAGCAGCTCTCCCCAGCTCCCACACCGCTAACACAGCTCACAGGTCTCACGTGCACCATCATATTTTAGTTACAGTGAGCGTCTTCGACTGTTTCTTCAGGGGAAGAAAAAGATTCACAGGATTGTGAGGTGGAGGCTCCGACTGATTATAGTCTATAGGGTTGGAGCAGGTGGAGACTAATGAGAGTTGACCTAACATTTCAAGCTCTCCGCGAGAAAGGACTTAAGGGAAAATTGCATGAAGTTTGCCTGAAACTTGCATGAAAATTGCATGAAGAGGCAGGGCGTTAGATGGCCGTCCTAACAGATGTTTCTCACTGCCCAGAACATCTTCGAGATACACCACACAGGGGCACGAGATGGTTGATTTGTGATGTTTCAGAGGCGAACGTGTTATTGGACAAGACTCATGCGAGGGATAAATGATAAGACGTAGGTCGTGTATTTCTCAGTTTGTTTTAAAGTGGCAACAAATGCATAGATGAACACCTCCAATGTGTTTCTTCAGAGACTTAAGACTGAATGTCCTCCATTTAAAAAGACATGTGAGATGCAAGAGCCTCTTGTAGTTCCCCTTCCCCACTGACTTCGTGGTAAGCATTTGGAAAATCTGGATGATTCTAAGAGATTGTGTTAGACTGCATTGTTTTTCACCTTTCCTGATGTCTTCGTGAAACAAGTTAATAGCACTACTGATGAGAAAAGAGAAAGCAGCTTTCTTCAGTCATCCTTGGACTGAGCAAATTATTTTTTTTTTGGAAGAGGGCTTTACTTCTAAGCTGGTGGCATTTCTAGGGCTTAGATTTTTAATGGAGCACTATAAATATTTCCCAAAGGATAAGATACCATCTGTAGCTAAACAACTTGGGATTCTGGCATTGATAGCATCCAGGCTTTATTATATTAGAAAATATGAACCTGGGACGCCTGGGTGGCTCAGTCGTTAAATGTCTGCCTTCGGCTCAGGTCATGATCCGGGGGCGCGGGGATTGAGTCTGGCATCAGGCTCCCTGCTTGGCGGGGAGTCTGCTTCTCGGCGGGGAGTCTGCTTCTCCCTCTCCCTCTGCTGCTCCCCCTGCTCATGCTCTCTCTCTCTTTCTGACAAATACATAAAATCTTTAAAAAAAAAATATGAACCAATCGATGACCTCGCTCTTCAACACAAAGAAAACAAAGGAATTTTTAGTCAAGAGGATATTTATACTATTTTGATTAAAATTAAGTTCCTGAAGATCAAGGAAGTCCTGATGTTTGCTAACACGATCCTAGAACAATAGATCTCAGGAGTGACTTTAAAGGTGCTCCTGCAATTCTTGAGGTCAGAGATGGTGAAGAGAATTAAGAAAGGAAATTTCATGAAACTCATAGATGGGAACAGAGTTCTGCATCTTGTGTTGAAGACTCAAGGAAACAGCTCTTTACCTCAGGGGAAATAGAGTTTTGGCAAGCTGAAATTAAACAAACAAACAGCTAAGCAGCCCTGCCTGACTAAAGTAAAAGTCTCACTTTTAAAATAGTCTATTCTGAAGTCCCTAATGACTGGCTGTCTCTTTATTAGGTGAAAATTCCTACCATTAGTATTTAAACACAGACTGTATGAGCAAGAATCTATTGTAAAGAATAATATTGAATATGCCAATAATAGCTAATCCGTATTAAATATGTCACTATTTAAATGAGAATTCAATGAGATTATTTTTTATTTCTTCTCATAGCAGTTGCTTTTTATAAACTACCTTTAAGATGAAAGATTTTTCAATATAAAAGAGCATGCCCATTCTAGAAAATTTTATCAACTGAGAAAAGTAGAAAGAAAAAAATACATAGTTCTATTTACTTATTTATTTAAAGAGAGAGAGAGAGAGTGAGTGGGCACAAGTGGCGGGAGGGAGAGAGGGAGAGAGAAAATCTCAAGCAGACCCCACGCTGAGCACAGAGCCCGACGCAGGGCTCGATCTCACAAACCCTGAGATCACAACCTGAGCGGAAACCAAGAGTCAGACACTTAACTGTCGGAGCCGTGCAGAAGCCCCTATAATTCTGTCACCAGAGGCAACTGATGCCAACATTTTATTTCCTTCTAAAATTGTTTCAGGTCATGATTGCATACTCTCTTACTACCCATTTTTTTTTTTACTGCTACTGCAGTTAATCCTATTACCACCTTCTTCACCGGCCATTTTACTGAGAGTCACATTCTGTTTGCAGCGGTCTTCATGTGTAATTCTGTCGAGCTGGTAATTTGTTTCCAATTTTACTGAGAAATCATTGACGTGTGTCGTTCTCTGAGGTTAAGGCAGACAGCATGGTGGTCCGATTTACATTTATTGTGAAATGATGACTACAGTAGGTTTTAGTTAACAACCATCATCTCCTATAGATACAGTAAAGAGAGAAAAGTTTCCCCCAACAGTTCTCTCTCTGTGTCCCAGAGCGGTGTTACCTGCGGTCATCATGCTGTGCGTCACATCCCTGTATTTACTTACCTTCTAACTGCGAGTCTGTGCATTTTGATTGCCTTCCTCCAATTCCTTCTTTTCCGATTCCCCACCTCTGGTGGCCACACATCTCATCTCTGCTCTGTGAGTTTGGTGTGTGTGTGTCTTTGTAAAATTAGATTCCACATGTAAGTGAGATCACACACTATTTGTTTTTCTCTCTCTGACTTATTTCACTCAGCATGATGGCTTCAACGTTCATCCAGGTTGTCATCAATCGTAGGATTTCCTCTTTTATGGTGGAACTATATTCCATTGTGTGTGTGCGTCGCAAGTGCCTGTACATACCACGTGTCCATCCATCAGTGGACACTTAGGTTGTTTCCCTGTCTCGGCTGTTGTAAATAATGCTGCTGTGAACATGGGGGTGCAGATATCTTTTCAAGTCAGTGTGTTTGTTTCTTTTGATTTTATTCCCAGATGTGGAATTTCTGGATCATACGGTAGATCTATTTTTAATTTTTTGAGAAACCTGCCTACGGCTTTCCACAGTGGCTGCACCAATTTCCATTTCCACCAACAGTGCACGAGGCTTCCCTCTTGTCCACATCTTCACTAACACTTGTTACCTCTTGTCTTTTTGACGATGGCCATCCTAACAGATGTGAAGTGATATCTCCTGGTTTTCTCTTATTCTAAATTTTCTTATTATCTAAATTTCTCTTTCATCTCTACATTCTCTTATAAAATATTCTCTTCCTCTAAAAACAATTCTGTATTCTGCTTTTTCACTTAAAAATAGTATAAGAATTTCCCCCATGCCATTAACAGTCTTCATAAACAATTTTAATTGCATCGTAACAGTCCATTCTAAGTGTAGTTTTCATAATGGTAAATTTTCACTTGTTTTAATTTTTTATATATACCTTTTTATTATTAAATACCAAAACCATCACAAAACATAACATGTGATGGCGACAGTCCAGTTGGCCTGAGGTCTAGAAGAAAAGGCACCCGGAAGTGGGGAGGGCTAACGCTTTAGTCAGTATTCACTACTCAGGTCATTTCTTTGAGAACCACTTGTGAGGCAGATGTGGACAAGGACCAGCTCATAGTCAGATACTTGTCAAATTAACACTCTTAATATAAAATTCCAAACATGCTGCTTTCGCTCTGTGTTGTTAAGGTCTTGCTTTCATCTTATCTCCAACAGCTTTCTGATTAGGCTCCTCCTCACAAGACATTTCTTGGTTTCTCTTTAATTTTTGTATCCTTAGGGAGTCATTTGGAACTTCTTCTCCCCAAGAATCAAATTATCACCATCTTTAAGCTCTGCAAAATTTTCCTGTTAACCACTGAATCCCAATTATAGAATTTGTAAATATCTTCCCCACTGACTGCCTGTTTCATCCATGTCTAAATCCTGTCATGTTGAAAACCATCCTGTTCAATGGTTTCATCTGCCCGGTTACCTCATTTTAAGCCACTTGGAGAAGTAGATTTTCTCTGAAAATGTGTAAGGTATGGATAAAGAACTATCACATTTCTACCCGTTCTTTCAAACCACGAATTAGGAATCCAATTCTTATCATTTTTTTAACCAAAATATTATTCTTGAACACCCGTACTCTAGCGTTATAGTAGACCCTTGGCATAGAATAGAGAAAAATCTAATGATCCCACCCTCATGGAGCATAAAGTCTTCCTGATGTTCTTTTATTATATGTAGAGATAGTGATAATAGCGTTTGTTCCATAAAATTCTCTTGTATCTTTTTCACATTTATTCTTTAATTGCAAACATCAATTTCAAGTGCTTGTCCATTGGTTTTCTCACAGTCTTTGTGATTAAAACACATTCTCAAACAAAATGGTATGCTATGCTTTTGCTTGTTTTTGGTTGGTCACACCTGCATTCAGTGATACTTTGTTTGAAGGAGAATTTCTCAGTGCCTTTCTGATGGCCGCGGAATTACTTTGTTCTCAGGTCTTTCGGAAAGTGATTGGGTGCCTAACAAGAACATGCCCTGTAGTGTGCCAGAACACTGTACGGCTCTGCTAAACTTCACAGAATATGAAAACACTTGCCTGATGTGCCAATAAATCTTCCCTCTCTTTCCCTAGGTCCAAGGATCTCATAAAGGAAGCTATCCTTGACAATGACTTTATGAAGAACCTGGAGCTGTCGCAGATCCAGGAGATTGTGGATTGTATGTACCCAGTGGAGTATGGCAAAGACAGTTGCATCATCAAAGAAGGAGATGTGGGATCACTGGTGTATGTCATGGAAGGTATGGTTTGTAACTCTAATCCTCTGACATTCAAATATTCCCTTTTCATCTTCTCAGCTTGCACACAGATGGTAATGTATTACATGGGACAGTTCCATTTTTCCCTACTTTTGTTGTTGAGAGGCAGTTTGGAAAGAGGTGGAACACGACTCAGATACAGTGGTTGACTAGTTGTATGAAGGGTTTGTGTTTAGAATATTAAGCTGAGAATCTAGTATTGTTTTAGACATGGAGAAAGGCTGATAGGGTGAAAGAAAGAAATGCTGTTTATTACACCGTGTAAGTCTGCACGCCAGTGGGTCGTTGAGCAAGCTCACGGAGCTTCCAGAGGAGCTGGAAAGTATTTTTGGCCAGATGATCAGAATGTCAACCCTACCTTTAATTTTCAGTGTATGGCTAGGTTTCTTGCTATCATGCTTCTATAAAAAGAATGTTTTCAATGCTTTATATGTGTGTGAAAGAGGAAATCAGACTGGCCGGATGGCCTATGAGCTACCTAATTAGTAAGAGTGATGGATTGTTTCATAAATCTTGCCCCAATTAAGATAGAAAGTGCTTATAGGCAGGCACCATACAAATACACTTTTATGCCTAGATAAATTTTCATATTGTCTCTTTCTAACTTGGAATTTATAATGCCGTGTTTTCCTCCTGGGAGAAAACACAAGCCTGAAGTAATGACTGGATTAGCTGAGGAAAAAGTGAGTTCAGAAGTGCCCAGAAGATCAGAGAGTTGCCACGCTAACATCACAATCAGTTTCTAGGTGGTGGTTAGTGTCTTACCCCAAGCATTCATGGCAGTGTCCTGGAATTGTCAGGTTGATAGGTCATTAAGAGAAGGGGTGTATTTGGGCAAGTGGACTGAACTTCTTTGAATTTTACCTGATTTGTAAACAAAAGGTCCTACCAATTGTCACTCCTTTCTGGCAGTAGATCTCAACTGGTGATGATCTGTCCCTCCACAGGACATTTGGCAATACCTGGAGACATTTTTGGTTGCCACAGTGGGAGTGGGGATAGATGGGGGGTGGCGCTGCTGTGCTGGGCTGTTGCCCACAGCAAAGAATTATCTGGCCCAAACTGTCCTTAGTGTTGATGTTGAAAAATCCGGCTTTCTACCATCTTTACAAGATTGTTCTGAAGTTAATATGAAATACTTGGAATAAATGTTATTGTAAAGTGTAAAACATTGTAAAATAACAGTATGCATTACTCTTTCTATCACATACTTGACAGCATATAAGAAATGTGCTGCCTGCATATGTCATTCATCTTTTAATTTTTCTTTGTCATCTTTTTTGACATATATTAGGCATTCAACTTTTAAGTCATAATTTTGATCATTTTTTTTTTCTCCGTAAGTTTTCAGCTTTTGAGTCAATATTATGAAGTTTTTCCCCAGGCCAAAAGGAAATAAATGTTCAACTAGGCTTTTTTCTGAATAAAAGCAAGACACTATAAACAAAAACACAAACAGTATTCACTTGGCAGACAATTGCAGGGGAAGGAGATGAAATTATAGGGCCAGAGTATATGTGGGTAGTAAGCAGAAAAGATGAGAAAAATGCAAGAAATATACAGAGGCCAAGTATAAACTATAAATATGGAGAGCGATGTTAATAAGTCCTGACAATTAAAAAAAACAAGTTTAAAGCATTTCTTAGATTATAGTTTATCAGTGGTTTCATGGTTGATTTTTTTTAGATAATTTATTGTCAGTCACGTTTGTAAGAACATCCCTATTGCATAAAGGAAGATGCACCAAACTTCCCCATTTGCAGATGCTAATTATTGAAAATCCACTCAAGAACCGGATATTTCCGGGACCTGTATGTTGTTTTCCTTTATCTTGAATATCTCTTACGAAAATAGATTTCCACACAATCTTGCAATTTTTTTCCAAAGAAAATCTCTTTATCCATACTATTCTGGTTTCTAAGACTAACTGCTAGTTTACTAGCTATGTTAGAAGAAGCTTAGAAATCATAGTGTATATTTACTAAGTGCTTATAACAAGGTCCAACATATTGAGCATGCTTTGTATAAACACTTTCCATGTATAAAATTTATTTAATGTTCAAAACAATCCTATGAGGTAAGGGATAATATTTATTAATCTTCTTTATAGATGAGGAGACAGAGGCCCAATAAGGTTAAGTAACTTGCCTGTGTCTCCCAACTAGTTTATAGTAGAATTAGGACTGAACCCAGGTTACCTGGATATAGAGTTCCAGCCCTTAACTATGGGGCTATGTGTTAGTCAGGGTTCTCCAGAGAAACAGAACTGATAGATAGATAGATAGGTATCAATGGATAGATATTTATTTTAAGGAATTGGCTCACGTGATTGTGGACACAGGCAAATCCAAAAGCTGCGTGGTAAAGGCAATAGGCTAGACATCTAGGGAAGAGTTGATGATGCTACGGTTCAAATCTGAAAGTTGACTGCTGGCAGAATTCCTTCTTCTTCTGGAGAGGTCTGACTTTTTTCTATTAAGCCTTCAACTGATTGGATGAGGCCCACCAATATTATGAAAGTAATCTGCTGCTCAAAGTCTACTGATTTGTATGTTAATTTCATCTAAAGAATACCTTCGCAGAAGCATGTAGGATAATGTTCGACCAATAATATCTGGATATCGCGGCCTAGCAAGTTGACACATGAAACTAACCATCCCAGGTCCTCCCCTTGTCAACTCAGCACCTGTGTGCATCTCCTTAAACCATGCTTAATCTCCAAATAAAGACAGCAGCAAGGTTGCAGCTCCGCCTACCATGACATGATGACTCTGAGTACAACTGAAAATCCACTAACAATTTCCCCAAAAAAGGGTACAGAGTTCTTGGGCAATACTTACTCTTCTTCTTAATATCCTGTAATTTAAACTCTGTGTTATAAAGCTAATACTTAAATACTGTGATGTAAAGTCAATATATCTTATTTTACATGTTAAGGGGGTATGAGAGAAGAAAACCAAGAATTTGGCGCACATACATACACGCAAACATATTTATAACAAAATAAGGAAGAAATACCCATGACGGGCTTCCTGAGGTAAAGGTAAATATTACTAAATTTTCCTCTATTGCTTCAAGCTAATTCTGAAAAATTTTACTTATCTTCCTTTTCCTGCTGGATTGACTAAACAGCAAGTCATCTTAATTATCTTTTTTGAAACAGGGTTTTAAATAGTGTATCAATATTCAGAGTCACAGATTTTGCAGTGATGCTGTTGATGGCCTTCAGTTAAACTCACTAAAGTGACTATAATCTTATAAACTGAGGCCGATCTGTCTCCAAGCTGTAATTCTAACCAGTTACTTTGGCTGATCTTGTGCTAATATCCTTGTGTCAAAATAATTTCAAATTAAAAAAAAAGTCATTTAAATTTTTGTAAGTTTTAATTGAAGAAATGTTTCATTGTTTAATTAGATTTTTATCAGTGTATTTAATCTTCTCAAAATTTAGATAGCAGTGGTCTTGATAGAGATGGATTCTTTTTCATCTGCGAACATTAATATTTATAAAGAACATTCCATAGCAACAATGGATGAGTAGGCTATGGAGGATCATTCACAAACTTGCTTTTATCCAGACATTCAGAAAAACACCCAGGGAGTTTATGTGGAAAATCAGTCCAATTTTCTCTGTCTCTCTTTATCTAAATGAAGTTTCTACGTATAATACTGTTTAACATGTGCCTTAAGTGGTTTTCATTTTAGCTGGGCAGTGTCCCAAGTAGGATTGCACACCTAAATGCCAGAATTTCTCACCATTTTAGCAAAAGAGAAGAGTCATGTGGTAAGGACTTCACAAATTAGGATGACTGGGGAAAAATCATCTGGGCGTAGCATAAATATATTATCATATACTTTCAAGCAAAATGAGTTGTGTGACTTTCAGATACTTAAAGTTGCTGGCTAGCAGAAGTTTCAATGTTAAGTCTGAATCAGAATCTTTTGGTATTCGTTTTTTTTAAGGCGGTACTGTTAAGTAGATTAAGTTGCTAAGGTTCTGTTTACATTTTAATCATGTTTTCAGATATATCAATGACTCTTACAAAATACTTGACTACAGGTTATTTTCCTAAACAGACTTTGGCCTGGATTATGATGTAAAATTTGTTGCCCTCCCTTTTGTTATCATAGGGATACATTTTAGTCTATTGTGTTTCAAAATAAAACATGTTCTGATTTAGTGCGTTTCAATGGTGATGTGAGTAAAACATCTTCTCTGTGAATCTAATCAAATATTTTCGTATTGAAAAATGTCGAATTTGTATCCGTCAAAGTGGTTGATTTGCACATTTCCTGTGATGTTTCATTGTGGAAGCAGATAGATTACATTTTATATCCTAAAAAAAAAAAAAAAAAAAGAAATTGCAAGTCGTCTGTTGAGTGTTCTGTGAGCATTGGCTATTTTAACTTAAACTTTTTAATGAAATCATCAATTTTTTAATGAGGTGCTTATTAATGATAATAGCTTTTATTAAGTACTTATAAATGCCAGGGACTGTTTAATCCTTTTATAGGTATTAAATTTTAATCTTCATAGCCACCTTAAGGAGTAGGTATTCTATTATCTGCATGTTAGTAGCTGGAGAACCTGATGCAAGGACAAGGTGAGTAACTTGGCCAAGATCATCCCACCAGTTCATTGAGGTGCAAACTGCACCATCTGCCCCCGAGTTCCCATACGTGTTGATGGGGCAACATTAACTTTCGAAGTGCACGTTAGAGGACCTGGTGGTATATATTTGTTATGTATTACTATCCCAGTTTTAGGAGCCCATTAAAGATGTGCAGCATGAAACCATAGGATAAAGAGAAATGGTTTGATTATTTTTAAGGAAAAGATAGAACTTGAATGGCGATAGGGCAAAGAGAGAATAACCCAGATGTTCCCATAAATGCTTCTTAGGTCTCTGCATCCTTTCAACACTGAACTGCTTGTCGACCTCTCCGTAGATCCTGAACCATTCACTCTTCTCCTCTTAGCC